CCAGAATTCCCCAGCCAGCTGGGGAATTCTGGGAGTTGGGGTCTCCCTCCCCTGAAAGCTGCCAAGGTTGAAAAACACTGTTCTATGGCTTAGCAGCCGAGGCACCATTCACTTTCTGCCCAATCTTTTGGAAAAACGGGGCGCAGATTTGCACGGGAGAGATGCCTCCAAAAGCGAAACGCAGAATAAAACTGCAGGGGAAAAGAATCGAGAAACGTGACCGCAAGCGACGTCGAAGCTCGACATGCCTCACCTGGCTGGGATTTCTCGAGCCGACCGCGGCGGCCTGCTTTGCCCACATGGCATCGCTCGGGAAGTGTGCAAGCGCCGACCGATGCCAGCTGAAGGGCTCTCTTATTCCTGCAGATGCCGACGAATGTGGCGCCGGGTCTCACTGCTGCCAGCAAGGTTGCTACAACTATCCGGGGGGTTACGAGTGTGTTTGCAACGCCGGCTACAAGCTCAACCCTGCGGGCTGCGCCTGCGACGGTAGGTTGAATCCTAGAATGGAAGGGACCCTGGAGGACATTTAGTCCAGCTCCCGTCCAGGGCAGGAATCCGTCCCGTCGCACCCAAACATCCAGCCGATGTTTAAACAATGAAGGAACGGCCGTAAGTTGGAAACTCCCCTGTCAGATCTCGTGGGGCGTTTGTGCACTGCCTTCATGTGAACGAGGTTGGGAGGTTTTCCGGTGCGCTGCGGTGACTGTCAGATGTCCCTGGACCCCGCGGTGCTCTGGCTGTGCTTTTCGTGGGACGTTTTGCATTCTGTATTCTTTTCTTCCAACCTATTTTGGTCGATGGCGATATATTTTGCCGGATCGAAAACGGCAGGGTTAAGAAACGCTTGTGGGTGTCCCGTCAAAAACCACTTCCTTGTAACTCAAACTCGCTGGTTTTTATCCTGGAATAATGTGGAACTGTTCTGCCCTCTCTTCTACGGGAGAGCTGTTCGGATCCCTGCAAGCTTCTTGTCTCCAGATTAAACCCACCCGGTGCCTCCAAGCACTCCTCACGATTTCTTTCCAGATCTGGCAACGATTTTCTCTGGTCTACCAGCGGGAACAGAGAGAAATGGTGACAGGCCACTGGTCCCTGGGTCAAACCTTTCGGTGATGCATCGTGTGGTTTCTGTTTCTGGATGCATTTCCTAGCCATGAGAAGGATCAAGTCCTACACTGTTTTTTCCTGGGAGGTGGGCAACCCTGGTGTGAATTAATGTGGCACATTTGTGTGCAGGAAGAGAGGGAAGAAAGTTGTGAGGAACTAGGGTGAGAAAACTGGGGAGCAGCCGTCAAAAGCGGGTGTGGATTCAAAGCAAGGGCAGGAAATGGCGACCTCACTCTGAACTGGCTAGGTAGCATTCTCCCATTGCACTTGGCATTGGCTTCGCAACCACAAATCAGAGCGTTGGAAGGGACGAAACTAAAGACATAAGCTGTTATGTTTTTCAATATTTGCAAGTTGACACCTGTTTAATTTTTCCAGATCTGGACGAATGCTCTGCGAATAACGGCGGCTGCGAACATTTTTGCCAGAACCTGGTCGGTTCGTTTCTCTGTAGCTGCCGGATCGGGTTCAAACTAGACGAAGATCGCAGAAGCTGCCTTGGTAAGTATCAGCACCTTGGGCTTTCCATGGTGCACGCGTGATCGGAGGATTTGGACACGTCGAAGAGTTTGGTGGGGACCAGGAATATAACGTGATATTTTCCAGACGTCTGGCATTCTTGATTTATTCCTGATTTATTGCAGTTCTTTTGCAACTTTTCTCTAAGAGCATCAGATTGTTTTCTGGCTGGTTTCCTTTCACTTTCTTTCTTGAACAACCTCCCTGTAAGGTAGGCTGGGCTGTTACGAGTGACTAGCTTGAAGCCTGTGAATGATGGTGGAAGCTATGTCTTCTTAGTCCAAACCCATCATTTTAACTACTCCACAACTGCACTCAGTTTCCCAAATCTTTAACTTTTAACCTTTGTGTAACCATGAGCTGGAAGTTTTGGAAAAAGCATTTAAATTCTGAACACTCTGCCCTGATTAGGGATGGCTGAATATGCTGATTTATCACAGGTCCTCATAATTGCAAATCAGATTTGCTTTGTCAGACTTAAGATTTTTTAAAAAGATTAAGACATGCAAGAACGTATGTGCATGTCTTTCTCCAAACCTGTGTAAGTATCTTTGATTTGCAGATTTATTGCAAATTTCTCATTGTGCTTTTTTGTACGTGACTTCTATGAATAAATGTATTTATAGGCAGACTTTTCCCCAATGCCTTTTTAAAAATAGTACCTGCCACTAGGGCTGGTTAATGGCAGCCGGCAACAAATCGAAAATCAAGCCGATAAATAAATAAAACGGCACGTTTTGCAAAGCGGAATTTTCGACGATGCCGGAATTTCAGTCGTGTCCGTTCCGAAGAGCAAAATGAAGTTCCTATTCAGCTGCTGACTGAAGGAATTTTGCTCGAGGGCCAGTTCAGGTGGGTTTTGTGTATTTGCTCTGCTCGTGTTTCTAGTCCTCTCTGTTCCCACCTTGATGGGGCAATCACTGGAGGCGTTTGCTCTCGCCGTAGCCCTCGAGGATCCGGTGGAGGCCTCGGACGGCCGGCGTGCGATCGTCCGTCCGCTCCCCCACGTGGCAGTTTTCCAGGATGAGCTCACCCAACTTTTTGATGAAGAATATGACGAAGAGGCGGAAGAGATGGAGGCGAGAGGAGAACACACGCTCGCTGAGAAATTCAGTAAGGGCAAATAAGACCTGCAACCAACCTGGCCGGGGTCTGAGAAGGAGCCTTCAAGTGGCCGGCCAGGCCCCCGGTGAAATCCTCCATGGCGGCTTTCCATCGCCAGTGGTCTCCTTACCTTTTGGAGCTGCTGGGCAGGCTCGGTTCTTTGGGGATGCCAAGGCAGAGTCTGCAAGTTGGGGTTTTGCCATCCCTTAGAATGGAGGGCCTGGTCTTGTCACCAAGCGATATCCGCTCTTCTCTTGCTCATTTCTCAAACTTGCCCGCCACTTTCTTTTGGGGGGTGTTGCGGCCCCTGCCATGTTGCCCGGGTTTTTTTCTCTGCCCCTCGCAGTCTGCCTGGATGACACCTTTGGCCCCGACTGCAGCCTGTTGTGCGAGGAGTGCCAGAACGGAGGCCAGTGCAACGAGCAGGGGACAGGCTGCGTCTGTGCGGACGGATGGACCGGGATCCTGTGCAACCAGAGTGAGTCGGGGCAGAGAGCCCGTCGGCTCCAGCAACGGGTGCAAGTCTGGGCATCGTGGCTAGGCAGAGAAGGGGCCCCGAAGCAGCAGTGTGGGGTGCGAAAGCAGCGAGCGAGTTGGTGTAGAACTGCAAAGCGGGTTCCTCTCTCGCGTTTGGCCACCTTGATCTCGGCTGGGGCTGATCCGGCCATGTTTCCAGCCTGGGAAATTCTGGGAGTTGAAGTCCACACATCTTAAAGCTGGCTGGGGAATTCTGGGAGTTGAAGTCCACACCTCTTAGAGTTGCCAAGGTTGAAAAACACAGGTTTACACTCATCAACCCCCACCGTCCCCCAGGGGCTGCTGATTCAGAAAAACGTCCACTTTCCTGTGAGTTACTCTGGTTTAGTTCAGGATTAGATTGGAGCCTGAAACCCTGTTGACTTCAGGAGGCCAGGCCTCCGTCTGATGAAATCCGGGTGCCGTTTTCTATCCTCGTGTGTTTTTGCACAGTGGAGGGTTTCTGATTGGGGCACTGGGATGGGCTTCTCCCACTTTTCCCACGGTTGATTTATTATCGAGAGCCAAGTGCATTTCCCAGAATTCCCTGGCAAGTACTTTCTTTGCTGAGAATTCTGGGAATCGAAGTCCATCCATTGGCCTTGGGCTGCATGGCCGAAGTGAAAAACTCAGACCGCCTCTGGAGCACGTCCATCACGTTGGAGTTCCATGCCACTGAATGGGCCCCAGGGGAATTCTGCGAGCCGCCTCTAAGCTGAATGGGGTCTTCCCTTCACAGCCTGCCCAGAAGGGACGTTTGGGAAGAACTGCAGCTCCCTTTGTCTCTGCCAAAATGGAGGCAGCTGCGACCCGGGGACGGGAGCCTGCCACTGGCCCCCTGGAGCCACCGGGAA